AGAGCCGGGGGGGGCTGGCGAGAGGGGTGTGTGCGCGCGTGTTGGACTGGACAGCCAAGCTAAAGCAGAACCAGGTGGACCAGAGCAGCCATGCTTCCCGGGGTGGGCGTGTTCGGCACCAACCTCACCGCTCGAGTCATCATCCCTCTGCTGAAAGACGAGGGTTTCGCGGTGAAGGCGCTGTGGGGCCGCACACAGGAGGAAGCGGAGGAGCTAGCCAAAGAGATGAGCGTTCCCTTCTATACGAGTCGCATTGACGAGGTGCTGCTGCATCAGGACGTGGACTTAGTGTGCATCAACCTGCCGCCGCCCCTCACCAGGCAGATCGCTGTCAAAACCCTGGGTGAGTGGCCCCTCCCCCACCTCCTCTCCTGCCTCCTCTCCTCGCCTTTCCCGCTGCTTTCTCTCCTCTCTCCCTCCTTTCCTCCCAGAAGCTTACAAGGCATCTACGCTGACACGAGGGTCTGAGACCCCACATTCCGTTGGCAGCGCCCTCCTCCTCATCCCTGGCCCTCAAAGCCTCTTTGCTTCCCTCCGCCCTTCTGGCTCCACCTGGACGCGCTTCCCCACGTGTGCGGCGCGGAGGCTGTAGGAGGCGCGTGCTCCGGCGATGGGGATGAAGGCGCATCAGCTGTTGAGGACTGTGGATGGCTGCTCTGAGGGAGAGAAAACTAAGCCCCCAGGCGTGTGTGTAGTGCCGGAGTATGTGCGTGCGCGCCTGCGAGAGGCGAGTGCGCGCCCCAGAACGCTGAATAAAGGGCCCCACATACCTTTCTGGTTTCCCTGGGGGCGGTAGACCTGACGATTAGCAGCTGTGGCTCCCTGCTAGGGGTAGTTTGCTACTTTCCGCTGAGTTAGTTTAGTGTGAAATTAGACGTCTGACAATTACCTCGTCTTCGCTGAAAGCAAGGATAGCGGGAGTGGTTGGATGTCAGGGTTTGGGGGTATCTCCTGGGACGTCTTATGAATCTGGGAGGCTCATAGGTTAGTACAGACTGGTTGGATAAAACCAGAGAGTTTTAACTTTCGAGTGCTGCACCCCAGAATGGTCTGCGCAGATTAGGAGTCATAGACCTTCTGCTTTTAGGGCATGAGAGTAGTAGTTCCAGAGGCACAGAGGCTTTGTGTGGGAAAAGGCCCCACGCAGCCGATTTCACGCAGCCGATTTCACAAGGAGGCAAGCAGTAATCCCTCCTGAATTCCCGTCAGGGCTGGTGTTGACAAGCGGGTTGGGCATGAGCTCACCGCCCCTCACCAGCCGCCCCCCCCCGCCCCCAGGCAGTCTGAACAATCTCAGAGTACGGTACCAGCATGTCTGCCATCCTCAGAGGAACAACTGTTTTGTCCATGAGCAGTTCTCACTCAGACCTAAGACAATCCCAGGGAGCTTGTCCTCACTCTCCCAGGAAAAGTGTCGGAATTTTATTAGCCAGGAAAGAGACAAAGCACAGGATGTCAGTCACATGAGAGAAAAATTACACAGGAAGGTTTGGGAAGGCACCCAGAAACCAATGGTAATTTGTGTAATCTTGGACAGAATGTTTTATTTTTAAAAACAGGTGTGGGTTTGGGGTAGGTGAAACATATATTTTAATTCTGTCTTCAGAGACCTATGACCAGAATGTAGAAATCTCCCTAAAATACCATTCCTATCAGGCCATTCTTCTATTAACTCACATGGGACATCTGCTATAATAGGCTGCCCAAGGCTGTCAGTTTTCAGGTTACTTTTTATTAAGCTTCTGACCTTTGTTGCTTGGTTTCTTTGGCCTTGAATTGAATGTCACTGGATTTTGGCTAATATTTTGTTTCTGTTTCATATAACGTATGTGTTGGGTAGTTAACCTCTGTGCTTACAGTGGGTCTATGCATATCAAATAGATTATAGCCATCCTATAATATAAATCTGTTTGGGCAATTAGTATAAAACAGGTCCATATTGAGCCCCATGTCTCCTAGAGGGCATATGACTGGTCATATCAGAAAGATCATGTTTGACTTTTCCCTCTAGGGCAGCACAGCCCTGCAGGTCAGACCCAGGAGCAGCCCTAGAGCTTGTCTCTAGGACAGTGGCAATTTGGGGAACAAGGACATTTCTGTTTTCTGACCATCATGAGTCATGAGTGGGGGTACTTAGGTCATGAGTGGGGGTACTGGTTTCAAGAGAAGCACAAATTATATATTTCTAGATATTTATTTTCGAAAGTCCCTATGATTTTTTTTTCTTGACAAGACTAATGCGAGGAACATCTTCAAAACCAAGCATAAGAGGCACAGGAAATACTAGTAGACTTGGTTTAATACTCATGCTACGGAACAGGGCTTTGATCATGTCTTCATGGTAAGTCATAGGCTTTTTTAAAACAAATTTCTGAGTTTGCAGGTACTTTGAAGTCATCTGTGATCATAGAATTGGGGAGGCATCGGATTTAGAGGGACGAGTTTAGTCTCTTCCCAGACTCCATCTTCCCGGGAATTCCCTGGAGGTCACTCTCCTTTGAGTTGTGCTTGCGAGTACCAGGCGGGGTAGTAGTCCGGGTTTGCTTTGATGTCACGGTGAGAGGTTTGTCACAGGCAACACAGGAAGTGAAAACCCCGAACAGTTATACGATGGTCTGGCTGTTGGGGGTTTATAGATGCTAGAGTTTGTCTGGATTGAAACAAGCCAATCTTGACTCGTCCTGGTGAATTGTTTGTTTAGCAAAAGCCTGGGCAGCAATGGTGAGATCTCTGTTGTCTATACCCAGAATTGTCAAGGAGAGGGGTTGGTCTAGATATCCTAGATGAATAAAGCTTGGAATCAACTGAATAACAACATTATTTAATTTTAAAAAATTTCCTTGAAATCTCTCTCTTAGTGAAGTAGGCATTTCTCTGTTGTAGAGACTTTTCTATAATGTATAATTTCTACCATGTCCAGGGCTGCCTCTTGTTAAGTACCTACTATGGGCCAGGCAATGTGGTAGGTCCTGTATATAAAACATTTCATTGCATGATTAAAATAATCCTCTCAGATAGATATTAGCTCCATTTTACAAATGAAGCAACTAAAATACAGAGACTTAAGTCGAACTGCTCAATTACATGTACCTAGAGATTTGAACCCATCACTCTGCCTCCTCTGGAACTTATTTCTTCCTCTCCTATCCCCAAACTTGCTCCTTTGCCTCAGTTTCTTCTCTCTGTTAATGGTAGCCAAGTGAGATTTTTGGAGTTATCCTCTACTCCTGTTACCTCCCCTCGCCCCCACCATGGAATCAATTCCTAAATCTGGTTGATGCCAACTCCTTAATCCCTCTTGTCTCTGTTCCCTCTTCTGCATCATTGCTTCTTCCATAAAAGGAACTAGGCCCTTAACTAGTTTGTGAATTAGGTTCCAGTTGGCTCCTCCCTACCCGTGCCTCTGTCCACTTTCCACCCTGCTACCAGAATTATCTTGAAGAACTGTGGACCCGGCCTGGCTGGGTAGCTCAGTTGGCTAGAGCATTGTCTCCATACACCAAGGTTGCCAGTTCGATCCCCAGTTAGGGCACATACAAGAATCAACCAATGAATGTATGAATAAGTGGAACAACGAATTGATGTTTCTCTCTGTGTGTCCCTCTCCTTTCTCTCTAAAAATCAATAAATAAAAATGAAGGAAAAAAGAGGAACTGTGGACCTGATCATGTCACTGCTCCACCCTTTCATCACTTCTGGGAAAAGCCCCAACTTTTTGACATAACCAGCAAGAGCTGCTGGTTTTTCTGGAACCCCATGAACTTTAGCTAACCAGACTACTGCTTGAATGGATCCTGTTGAATTTTATGTCCATGCCTTTGTCAGATCATGGTTCCACCTTATGTTGGTGATGGATGCCTATTCTTTCTTCAACACTCAGTCCCAGTGTTACCTGCTCTAGAATTCTCCCCCTCAGTCCTGTCCCCTACATATCCTTCTGTGGTCTCAGCACCATGGGCCCCCATCTTATTTTGCATCTATTTTAATGCATTGTTTAAATTTTAAATTTTATTTAGCTATTTAAAATAGGTTATATATTCACATGAAACAAATTTCAAATGCTATAAAAACACACAGTGAGAAAGAAAGAAGTATGTGTCCCTCAGTGCCTGTCCTCAACAGAGGCCATTTTTATGTTTCCTTTTGAAGGTTCAAGGAGTGTACTGGCAAATATATGCATGAGAATTTTAAAATCTTTTTTACACAATTGGTAACATCCTATTATATATACAGATTACATATACACACACATATACAAAAACAAGACGCCCAGTACATGAATCTGTGCACAGGTGGGGTCTCTCGGCTTGGCCGGTGATCAGGGCCAATCTGGCCGTCTCGCCCAGTCCCGATCAGGGCCATCAGAGCCGGCTGGCCAGGGGGAGGGACTGCGGGAGGTTGGCTGTGGGAGCGCACTGACCACCAGAGGGCAGCTCCTGCGTTGAGCATCTGCCCCCTAGTGGTCAGTACACATCATAGCTACCGGTCATAACGGTTGCTTAGACTTTTATATAGATAGATATGTACATCAAAAAACTCAGAATGTGAAAATATCCTTGTTTCCATTTTTGGCTGCATAATATTTTATTGTATGGCTCAATCAACTTTTATTTAACCATTTCCCTATTACTCAACATTGTTTCTAATCTTCTGCTTATACAAACATCGCAATGAACGCACACCAATCCGCTTGTAGGAAAGACACATGAACTGCTGGTCAAAAAGCATGTGCTCATTGCATTTAACTAAGACAGTGCCAAATGAGGGGGCACCTGAGATGACACAGCTCTCTCAGACTTCCTTGTGTGCCTCTCTCCTCAAGCCCCTTGACTGCCTGGTGCCTCACCTTTGTATCCAGAGCTGCCTGGTGTGCAGGGTCCAGCGCAACTCCCCGGCCAGCCTTCGGGGTCAGTCAAAACATGTCTCGGTTTGTCCTCCTGCAGTGGGCTACTCCACCTAGACGATGCAGTGAGCCGCCCAACGGCCTCCTCATGTTCACTCTTGTTTCTTATCCAGGTTGTTCTCTTTAGAGCACCAAATGGAGGACACCGCATCATTCCCTGTTCTGAACCTTTCAGTGGCTTCTGTAGCACTTGGAGCAACATTCAAGTTCTTTGTCAGACTTACTTGGTCTGAAATGACCCTACCTAGTATTCTTTCCCTCCTCTTTGGCCACAGTACATTCTCCCAGGCTCACTACCCTCCAGGTACTTTGTCCTCTTTTTGTTCCTCAAACACGCCAACTCCTTTCCCAGCCCTGGGCCTTTACAAACCGGCTCATCCCCATGTCTGGGAGGTTCTCCTAGAAGCTTCTCCTTCACATATTCTCACTTTCAAGTTTCA